AGAAAAGAAAGAGTACTTTTAGACGTAATTAATGTCCTTGAGTGCAGGAAGTTTGATGTAAGTATCATCAAAATTTTGAGTGCATAAATTGACTGCATAATTTCAAATTGTCAATGAGTAACCACAATAGTTAGCATCATTTCGTGTTAATAACATGAACATGCGGGTCCTGCGAAGTGAATGCATGTGTTAGGCGCATCACAACAACTGTTCAAGCAGATTCAAAAATTCAAAGAAATAATCACACAATATTTGCCGAAAAAATTCAACCATATTTTCTGCAGGTGATTGCATGTATGAGCAAGCAATTTGCACGGAGTTCCCATACGGGCGCCGATTAATACGTCCAGCAGCAGTGATTAGATCAAACAATTCATTGGCTAATCCAGTCTAAAAAGTTTCAGCAAGAATTAAAGCAACAAAATGATCCCACTTTAAACTGATCAGCTAAGGTAGAGCTTCTCAATTACGGTAATAGCTACAAACAAGCCGCGTCGCATTTTACAGTGAAAATAATTAAATGACGCGAATTAAGATGAGGAAAATCTTGTCAGTGAATTAGACGTCTACCACTGATTTTTATTTAGTTGTGTGCAAGCCGTATAACTGTCCTAATTGCTATTATTTTCGGCAGTATAAAACAAACTGGTCACATGCTAAATGTCTCCATTATTGTACGTTGTACCATAAGGGCGATGTGACACCAAGAGGTGAAACCCTCTGCAAAAAATCGTTTATCATGACATTGTACCATAAGGGCGATGTGACACCAAGAGGTGAAACCCTCTGCAAAAAATCGTTTATCGTGACATTGTACCATAAGGGCGATGTGACACCAAGAGGTGAAACCCTCTGCAAAAAATCGTTTATCGTGCCTTGTATAAAAGGTTGCATACTGACTGGATAATACAGATTAATGATATACGAATAAACTCAGCTTTGCTACAAGAAAACAACTTTCGTTCTCATCGAAACTCAAGTTGAACATCAAAACTCAATTTTCATATATTTTATGTTATACTATGAGCAATCTTCGGAAAAATTTATGTGATTCAGCATTTTAATTTTGATTTGTGAAAGCTTTACTTTCACAGTTTTGTCTTTTATTGTGCTCGTTTTAGAGAAAGAAAATATAGAAATTAATAATAGATTCTTTTTCCTGCTTCTCCCTCTCTATTCTTCTTTATTCGCATTCGTTCTCCGCTAGAACAGTCGATCTAAGGAATATGTATTTAATCTAATGCATTTATAGTAAATTTTACAGCTAATCCTTGGAACCTTGATAATTCGTGTAAAGCTTGTGCGAAAAGCTGACGTTCGTTCAAGAAAAGCAGGTGATTTCAATATACTGTCTAAAGGATTCAAAGGACTCGAATCAATTTGTCAGTGAAAGTTTTAATCTAAGATGGTACAAATAGCTGAGACAATACACCCATCCAAATTACGACCTCATTTTGTAAAATTCTTCAAATTCTTTTGTATAAAATTTTTGACCTCAAGTCCTGGCAAAAGAACTAAAAATTTCACTAAACATTTCACCAAACTTTTGTTTAGCCAAAAGTTTAGTGAAAAGTTTAGTCGTTTTGCCACCCTGTTTAGTGTTGTTTAGTCGTGTTGAGTGTTGTTGAGTGAAGTTTGATCCTTGACAAAAATGTTTAGCGTTGTTTAGTGTTGTTTAGCAAATGTTTAGTCGTTTTGCCACCAATTAAACACTTGTTGTGATCACGCAGGCGCACTAGCTGTGGAAATCCAAAGGTTTTCGTCTGTTTTCGTTGGTTTTCCTGTCTCTGCATGACTCAAAAAGCCTTTATGAGACATCTGCATATCTCGTTGTACGCAACTGTGTCTTCTTCAACAGTCAACTTTGTTGTCAATGTGCTAAAAAGTATTTTCTTTCCCCGTCGCTTCATCCAATTCTTACGTTTATCCACTGCTTCTGCATGCAAAAAAATAACCCACAAGCAAATTCCTATGCAAGATCCCCTACAACCCAACAGCGTCATAGACAGCTCGCTGTATTTGATCTTTATTTTCTTTGTATTATCGTGGTTTTCAATATGCGACCAAATTTAGGCCAACTTACGCTTCATAGGCCAAGTCAATTTTCGACCGCCAAGGGTGGCTGAAACTGGAGGGAAACATGTAGATAGAGCAGCAAGGTAAAAAAGTATCTGTTAGCAGGAGAAATCAGAAGAATTTAGCAGATGCAGAAGGCGGCAATAGAAAATTTTATAACCTTTGGCATAGGAATGCACCAAAAATGGAAACAGCAACGTCATTTAGAAGCAGGCGAAAGAAAAAATTATTTTTGTGCATTAAACAAGTGACCTCTATACCATGAAAGGATAGAAGGACACTCAGTTACATAAGAACAAACTTTATAAGAGCACCAAGGCTAAAGTTTCCAAAAAAACACGAACGTCGTAAGAACGTGTCTAGCCTAAGATAACTAAGAAAAAGTGAAACATCAGTGTGCTTTCTAGATTTTCTCTCGTGTTAGCAAAACCGACCAGATTTTATCAGCAAATCAGCCGTTCAATTGATAATTTCATTGAGAACTGTTAATAAGTTGTATTAGAAACAATTAATAGCATGCAGACATGTGTGTTGAAAAAAATGCTGAAACAAGACAAATATTAAGAGCGCCCGAGCCTCAAACTAAGAACCTAAGAACATCGAGCGTCAACAAAATTATCTGGCTTTTGTAAAAAAGAGTGTTTTAGACAATCATGTTCGTGACAAAGACAGTGCACTTGCAACAAGCTTCCGGGATTTGAAAAAACTAATTCACTTCCAGACCTAAGTTAAAGATCTCTAATGAATTTAGGACTGCCGTGAGGAGAGTTGGTATATAGAGAGTGCTGAAGTACGTAGAGCGATGTACGTAGAGAAAAGGAAAATGAAGGCCAATCAATTGTGGTTCAGGAATATTTCGATTAGTGGGTAGGGGAGGGTTTCCCTAGATACGATATCAGCCATGGATCAAGTCTGTCTATCATAGAAACCACATCAGCATATTTCACATCATCTGACTAAACTGACAGAAATACTTCCAAAATGAAAATGCTTTGCCTCTCATTTTGGTCAAGACGAATAAATGAGTGAAAGAACGATGTTACTATTACAAAGTTTAAACTTAGAAAACACAAAGAAATGTTTAATATAGTTAGAGCATTTTGTTAGTCCTTGTGCTTGGAACTCGAAACTCGACTTCAAATCAGTCATCTCAATCACCAGAACAGCTAACCTTTATACATTTATGTTGATGGTGCATAAAGGTGCAATCTTTTACAATCACTCTAGTGTTAACCGTTACTTTGAGAATGTGATGCATTGTGTTAAGTTAAGTAAAAAATATCACCAGAAAAACAAACTTATTTGCAGCGCTCTACTGACATTTACAAAGCTGAACAAAAATGCTATAAATCCAGTAAAATTAAATTTTTTAAATATGGGTGCAGCATTTAAAATTTCTCAAAGTCACACCCATATGATTGATTTCGACAACTTTTCCGGTTACGGCAGAAAAAGATTATTCTGTCGGATTCAGTCTATACGCCAAAGCAAATTCAGCTCTTCCTATATGGAATCGAGCACCGTATGACAGACTGGCTAAAGAAAGGTCTTTTGCATCTAATGAAGTCGATAGTTAAAAAACATTTGTTAAGGCTATTTATACAGTGGTCATGTTAGATAATACTTTATAAGAAACATGGAAGGCGATATTCATCTATATATGTAAAATCTTCTTCAAAAGTAAAGGAAAAACTTCTTCAGGTGTTAGAATATCACTGTTAACTTTAAATGTATACACTCACTTTTGAGATCCTGATGTCAGTGAAATTTTTAGGTGACAGCCTGTGCTGCCTTCCTTTTCTTGACTATCTGAGTAGTGAAGCTACGAAAAATGGAATTGCAAATCATTTAACGTTTTCTACACATGAAATTAGATATTGGGCTCTGAATGGGTGTTTTTTGTCTTTTCAGCATAAAATGCTTAATTTGAAGGAGGGGCAGTTGGTAGTTGGGGCGCTGAAAAATTTTCAAATATTGGTTACGAGAGTACGCTGTATACAACAATTTCAGATACCTTTTCAGAATAAACAACATAACTTTGAGGTAATCCTTGAAGCAAATTAACCTATCGGTCCAAGAACTTTTCTCATCTGATTCTCATTTTTCAAAAGGGGCGCACAATTTCCAAAAAGGGGCGCCAGGCTTGCTTCAACTCGTTGAGGGAGGCGCAACTGCCCCTAGTTGCCCCCCTTAAATCCGCCACTGTGAGTGAGTGAATGAGTTTTTTAGCCTATAAAATTTGATACTTCCATATATAGTACTAGCAAGGCCATTTGAGGATAAACGACAATGCAGTCATCAGGTAACTATGAATGCAAACACCACATCGTTTACCGATATGACTCTACAACCAAAGGTAATGTAAAACATGACAACTAGCCAGGGTCAGCACTAGAAAAAGTTTTCTAGGAGCGGTGCTGACTGCCGGGTAGATTTCATAATTTATATGACCACATTTTTTTGAGCAAGCAATAAATAACGCCAAATCTGTAGAGTAAAAAGCAAATTATCGTATCTTTCTCAGGAACAAGGGGAGGAGGTTACCTAAATAGGTTTTGAGGTACGGGGATGTGCCATTATTTAGTTGTACCTTTTCTGAAAAGTGCAGAATCATCGGTATCAGTTTTTGAAATATGTGCCAACTAAGGGTACCAAATGAAGAAACATGCAGAATTATGGGTACCATTTTGGGGAAATATTGCAAAATTATTAGGAGGAGAATTAAGCATTGACAAAATGAATTTCCCCCAATCTCATATCTTTCCTTTATCCATAGATTTTCATATTTTAATTTGCATATTTGCATATAAAGTTCAAGGGCATATGATTCATTTTAGATTAAAGTTGGGTATTATGGGGGGTAAAGAAGAAATTTATATGAAGGCGATCCTTTGAAAAAATAAATGATAGATGAAGTTGCAAGTGAGGCTAGCAGACCTCGCTCTAACAAAATTATTACAAATATGGCGGAAAATAATGAAAACATTGAAAACGTGGGTGAAGAGTTGATCGAATGCCTTGAGACGCAGTTAATGGAAATTGAGACCATAGAATATATGTTTCCTGGTGATGGGGAACTTGATATTACGAATCGTGAGACTCTTGATGATATTAGGGGGGTCTGCGAAAAATATAGATCATGTTCATCAGGAGATAGCGATTACAAAACTGCTCTTCTCAAACAGGCAAACTTGCTGCGGAACATATTGCTTGACATAAAGTTAGCAGTTGAGTTTGAATTCAATTCTAGTGTCAATGAAGTAATCAGTATTAATTTTTCACTCCCGTTATTGTACCCCAACAAAGCTGTACCTAGTGTATTTGTATCAGCTGATTCGCTGACTAGGGAGCAGCAAGGACTGTGGAATGAAAGACTAAATGAATTTATAAAGGAAAATGCAACAGGAGATGCAATGATTTACCAGATCACAGAATGGTTAAAGGACACAGGAGAAGGTTATTTTAAGGAGAGTTGTTCACATTTTGATAGCTGTTTGTCGGGTAAAATGCAGAAGAATGATTCAAAAAGTGATTCAGAAACCAAAGCATCTATGTGGTTGTACATGCATCACATTTATAATAAGAACAAACGTAGGGACATTATTAACTGGGCAAATGAATTAAAGCTAACAGGGTTCAGCCTACCTGGCAAGCCTGGTGTTGTACATGTGGAAGGGTGTGCTGACAATGTTGAAGAGTTTTTTGTGCGCCTTAGACGTTTATCCTGGAAAAGAATGTCTTGTGTTCATAAAGAAATTCATCACGAGGGTAGCTGGAAGCAGAGTTTTGAAAATTTTGAAGAGCTTTGTTTTGATGCACATGGCAGAAGAGATTATCACATGGACATGGGGAAATTTCAAATGTTTTTAAAAGAGCATGACCTTGGACATATGTTTTCCACTTTATTTGGTTTGAAAGAAAAATGATATGACTAGTAGAATTTTGGCAGTAAAACGTAAGATTCCATCAGAAGTTAAATTTTTAAATTTATTTTTGTAATACAAAACTAATCAAGTTTAAGAAAACATGTGTCATGAACTAGATTTGGCTAGTGCAATACATTTTGTGTAATTTATTGTGTACCTAGTGTAATTTATTTTTGTTTAGCACAAAGCAGGGGGTTGAAGATGGATTTTCACAGCAGTAAAATTTTATGAAGCAGATGTGAAAAGTTTGCGTTGTATCAGCCAACTGCTAAATGCAAATATGCCCTTTCAAGAATTAACATAAAGCGAAGGCTCAGGTTCGTCCACAAGAATTTGAGTTGGTATATTATTGGGCAATCTGCATTTTTTTGAAAATTTTAATGCATCACTTCAATTACACTTTGAAATCTTTTCCAATTTTTATATTTTTGTTCATACCGTAGACTTGGCTCCAGCTTTGGTTTCAGCATAAAAATTCATTCCAAATACAAATTTGAAGATTGAATGAAATACCAGAAACAAAGCATACTTTAAAAAGTATTTACAAGTTTAAGATTTTAAGCTATTGTGTTGTTAGTTATTCATGGAAACCTGATTTGGAATTCTATAAGTGATTTGACTGTTCAAAATGCCTAAGGGTGTATAATGACTTTATATTACATTGTCACAAAATGACCATTGCAAACGCCATCATTTTAAAACAATGAACATCTAGCAAGATTAAGACTATAGGTGCTAAATTTAAATATTAATAAATTTTGTGAATGTTGCAAACGAGGCAGTTTATTTAAAGTTGTGTGTTCAATGACCATAATGCCCTTACCTAGCTGTTTTGTCATTAAAATGTTAATACGAGACTTCTTTCAAAAGTTAATAACAGATTGTGTATCAAGAGGTGAATATATTTTCAAGGGATCGGACCTGAGGAATGGCAGGGGGCCTTTAGCTCTCTAATTAGGGGTTGAGCTTTTATGTCTCTTTGGGCTTTTTGTTGATGAGAAAAATATTTTGCAGTGGTTTTGGAAAGATAATCTCAGTTTATTCACTTCAAAAGCAACATCATCACACTCCTCCATTGCAGAATTTAGCCCTGGGTCAGAGAAAACCTGGCAACAACCTTGCTTATCAGTGATTGCAAATTTAACACAACTTAAGCTACCATTTGGTGTGTGTTTCGCAGGAATGTGATACTCTTGCAATCATTTACGATGGTAATAGGTGAAACTCTCTTACTTCAATTCCACTTTCCAATTTCACACTTTAGGTATTCTCAACTGGAAAGTCCACCTAGATTTTTGGAAGTAAATTGAAAAAATTTTATTAACTGAGCTTTTTTCTTTCTATTATTCTTCTTGTATTGTCAGGCTAAAAAAGCCAGCTTAAAAAAAACAAAATGTATCGACACCCTCTATGCAAATGTTTCTTCAGAAAAAAGATGATTTTAACAACCAAGAACTTGTACAAAGAAACCTAATCTGGGAACAGATGATCAAAGCAAAATCTTTATGCCAGTAATACCAACTAAGACATGTACCAATTTAAACTCAAACGAAACAGCACACTTAAAAACATGCTACTATAATTAATTATACTACTTTACTGCTGCCAGGGTTTCTACAATACTACTTAAACATGGGTGTAAGAAGTACATAAATTTTGAACTAAACCAGAATATCAAATGATGTGGTGAGGGTAATTGAAGCATTGCAAAGCAAAAGGTTAACCATGTAATATTGAATTCTTACAATGTTTAAGTGCTTACAATGCTATGAAAATGACACTTGTGGCACCTACAGCTTCCAAGAAGCAGAAAGTGAATGCTCCATTGAAATTAAAATGCTGAAATTAAATGCCTCTAGCTATACAGCTTTTTGTGGAAATGCTCAGTATCAAAATAGAGAGCCTTTTTTCTAGATTTCCCTTCCTTCCACTCCAATTCTGACAAAATTTTGTTTCATGAGTACATCAAATTTATGTTGATTTCTAGTAGGGTATAACTATTTCTGGCATGTTTGTATGAAAGCCTCTTTTTATGCTGAACAAGTATCACAATGACATTTAAATTAAGCCATGAAGCAAATCTTCTATCTTTAAATGCTATACAAAATCAAATGCTTAAATACAAGTGCATTTTATCTAAACACTTCTAAAATATTAACAACATCTCCACAAATTTACATACAACTTCAATACATCATAACTTAGAAATAACAATAAACAACTTCAAGCAATTAAATATTTACTTTGAGCAGAGGCTGGTGATAAAGGGCCTACAACAGTTCAAAGACAACAGCACATAGCAAAAGCTTTCTGAGACTTGCCTTCAAATGAGTAGTAATGCTAAACAACTCTGGGGATGCTGAAAATTATAAATCATAAATGCTGAAGGTCCATGTATGTATGGTAATAAAACGCACAATTTCACTTTATTCCAATTTCATTTTTTAAAAAAAATTCTACATAAGGAGAATGGAAAAATTGTTTCATATTTTGTCTCACATCCTTAGAAAATCTGAATAAAAAAGGGGAGTGTTAAGGGGATTGCCTACATAGATATTACTAGATGCTCTTTTTAAAGCAACACATGGTGGGGTTAAATATTAGGTAAAGCCATTTAAAACATGATATGCTTCAAGGGAAAGTTTGAAAAAAATTAAAAAAACAGCACTTTAAGACATAAGCAAACACAGCTGTACTATCAGTTTATTCTACATACACAAACTTTTCGCAATTTCATTCAAGTGTACATGTTCTCTTTGTCAATAACTAATTTCAGCAACTGACATTTCATAGCGGACTACTTCTGAATGCATACTTAACAGGTGTGTGGGGAGATTTTTATACCAAAGCAAACTTCCTAAAGTTGATAAATCATTGAGAAAACTGCTGAATAATTCATAAAGCAGGAAACTATCATGGTGATCCCATCCCCACTTCATTCACATTTCATATGTGATTTCATATTTGCAAATTGCAAACATGTGCAAATTGAATATGCATGGGAGTGGGGTTTGGGAAAAACTTCTTTGGTATTTTAACCAATTTTATTGTATCATGCAGGTTTCCATACAGCTTTGACAGTTTCCTTGCAATTGTCATGAAACATGAAATTTGAACATGTTGGCATTTATCTTCTCCATGCTGCTAGCTTTTTGCAAGAAACTAACTTACTTCATCCACAGCAAAACAATTTTTTTACTCTCCAGCATCTCCAAATTTAGGAAAAGCAATTTAAACTTTTTCCTATAGGTGTCTTTCAGATTAGACCTTTTTAATTTTGAAGGGGAAGCCTTCAATTTCAAGCAACATTTTCTTCACATTCATATTCATGCTGTTCCCTGCATCTCCATTCCTTGGACCATGGCAATTTTGCTGTGTTTTTGTTTCTTTGTTGTTTCTTTGTTTTGATTGGCACCTTGGGTTTCTGATTGATAGCCCTTTTAACCAATATTTTTAAATGCAAATTTTTGCAAAAAATTGACTGTGTGAATATGTGAATTCATAATGCAAACATTCGCAATTAGAATAGTACATTCTTGTGTGAAATGGCGATGCAAATATAGTGCAAATGGGCTTCAGTATTCATTTTTAACTCTCTTTTAAAGTTCTTCTAAAGAAAAGGACAATGTATCCTAAATTCTTGTAGAAAATCTCATTTGAAATCTAGCCAAGAACCTCTGCACCATAAAAAGTTCAAAAAGTATCCTTTGTTGTTAATGCTAATTCTATTTTCTAAACACCCTGTGTTCTGTGTTATTTGTGTTCATTTGGAGTTGCATTAGCCTGAGAGAAGGTAATTTTAAATCATTTATTAATCACTTTTAATAATTTAATCACACAGAATAGTGCAAAGCAAAGCACATAGCATAGCCTATTTAAAAGATCAGAACCTAGTTATGGCACTAACTTTTTATAAAAAGCTTCTGTTATGTGAAACATAAAACTCCAGTTCCTGCAGAGTGCCTTGTTCTTAAAATTTGCTAAAAAGCTTTGTGGGCCTATTCTGTATCATAAATAACCCAATTCTTGAAGTTGGATTCCTGTAACCATATAACAATATTCCTGCCACAGCAATTACTAAGATGCCAAAGATAACACCAATAGCAATACCAGTTTTTCTCTTGGCATCTTTATTACTCTTCTCTTCTGAAATTGCATGAGCAACATCACCTGTGGAAGAATTTGTAGCAGTGGTTGCTGGTACACCTGTATTTGGTGAGACACATTTGGCAGTAGAGTCTATAGCATTCTTTGGACAATCATTGTTCTCCCACTTTTGGCGATGCCAATCAAAAGTATCTGAGCACAAATTAAGCTTACTGCACCACTTGCATTGAAAGTTTTTGGCAATCTCTTTACTGAAACAAGACTGACATGACTTCGCCTGAATGCAATTAGGGATTGGCTGCAATATGTATGAGCTGTTAGCTTTAATGCGATCTTGTTGTAATTCAACTTTGTGATATCGGTATATGATTCGGAATGGAATATGTAGATTTGTACCAGGAATACGGTAATATCTTATTTTTACAAACCCATCTGACAGACCGACTTTTGGAGGAAAACCAACACTTGTGAAGTTCACAACGCTGTATGGAATAGATTTGTAAGAAAAGATGATGGTGCCATTTTCAAAAAGTGAAACCTGAAAGGTAAAAGGGCTGCTGTTATTTTTTCTGACTTCGTGTATGTTATCCCACTGCGCTATGAATCTTGCACCGTCATCATGTAGGTAAACATATACAGGCTTGTCTGATGACGCAGCAAAATCAGCCATAAGTGGTGCAGCATAGTGGACATTATGGGCAAAGCTATGTACGACAGGACCAATGTGGAGAAACCCTGCTGATGTAACAACAACATTTTCTACATCGTGGCCATAGAAAGGAAACACAAACTTTAACTTATAAGTGGTGTACAGCATCAGCAATGATCCGACACTTCCTGGCAGCGTCATCTTCTTCATTGTAACATTGCGATCGCCTGCGTCGTATAAAGCTTTTATGTCTTTAAAGTATGCATTTGAGTCAGACACAAACTGCGATGTATAATATTTGTGATCTGATATAATGGTTTTGTTTGGTGGTACCGTATATGCTGTAGGGCTAACGGGTGCTTTCGTCGTCGTTGTGTTTAAGGTTGAACGTCGCTGCCTTGTATTCTCCTTCATGATATCGCGCTTGTTAAAAGGCCTTCTATCACTTACATCCTTGAAGTATGTTTTAATTTGACTTTCCTTTGCTTTCCCATATTCCTCGGAGATTTCGCGATATGTAATTTTTGCTCCACAACAGTAGAACCAACTTATGCTCAATATCAACGTAATTGAAAAATAGGCACAAGTCATCTTCATCTCAAAATATAACTAGAAAGTGCTCCAGCAATGTATTTTACAACTTCGACTGCGGTATTTTATTCAATTAGGCCACAGTGAACTTACACAACAACTCACTACAAACAATCCTTGGTATCGCAATTCACTTTAATTATTTTCGTTTCCTCGTACCTACGACGGGGGTACTGTTAGTAGCAGAGTGACGTCATTAAAAACAGCTTATAGAGTTTTTAAATATGTCCCCATAACCTGAAAGAGCACCATTGATATTTAGGCCTAGAAATTTCGCTGAAGTTTTGGTAAACCAAGAAAAACTAAACTAGATCTGTAAAAATTGGTTTCGAATATGATACCGGGAGCAATCAAAAGCGCTCCCTAGTTTCTCTATAAAACATTTTATATAAATTATTATTTTGTGGAATCTGATTTTGTGGAGACAGACAACACCACAGCAAAGCAAGCACCGCTGCTGTAAATGCACGGAAAATGAGAATGATTGCCTATATTTCCGGTACTGGCTTTTATTTATAAATTGAAGTACAGAATAGGATCACTCGCCAAGTTTCACATCGATATTCGAAAGTGAGGTAAACGAAACCAATCCTTATTTTCACCAAATTTACAAGGGCACAGTATGGAGTAAGTTCCTTTTGGCCACCATTCGAAATGACCGCCAAAACGAAATCTGCCTGCACAACCCGTGAGGAATTTGAAAACTGAATTCAGCCACAAGTTCATAACTTCCAACCTTCCCGATTTAATGGGCGCAGTCCCGATAAGCAAACTTTTGTGTCGACCACCATATTAAAAAGAGTTGTTTTAAAATTTACCCGATTTGAAGAAATCCATCTAACTGCTTATGTTTTACACGCTAAAACATATAACAATGACACCAGAAAATCGGCTTGAATCATAAAATAGCTTTCTGCCCGTATATTTAAGTGCATTAGATGCATTAGAAAATATTCATTCAAACAATGCTTTTTCCAAAGAATAGGTTCAAAATCTTGATATGAAGACTCGTATGGTTGCAAGGTCAGCCTGTGCTGGAACGTTTTTGTGCAGTTATGGCCTAAGTTAAATAGCTTCTATTGTTAAATGTACAAGCAAAGTAGAAATAAGTCGACGTACATGCGTAGTTCAGATTCCATAAGATGGTCGATTTTGGCAAAACCTCTGATGCACTACAGCTTCAGTGCATCAAATTTCGAGACTCAGGTTAACCGACAAAACGAATGCAAGGCTTCAGTAATAAGTATGGTTAACTAAATGTTAAAGTATAAAGTTGATAATTAGTTACGTATAAAGAATTGACAAACTACAACTATATCAAGTGCTTAGTTTTCAAATTTGTTCTATAGATAGTATAAATAAGAATGTTTTTATACAAGCCAGCTAAAATTATTAAGTAATTATCTGAGCAAGCAGGATCAATGATAAAATTTACGGTACTCACGGCCAAATTAGTTGTAAAACATGTTTGCAGTAGCAACGTATGTACAGCAGCAATGAGTGATGCTAACCTACTATATTTGCATGCACCCCTAGAGAGTATATATCAATAACATATGCCCCAGAAGAATAGCATTTATGCGAGGGGAACAACGAACTTTGAGCAATACACTCATACAAACAATGCAAAATTGAAGAGCACAAAAAATCTAGTGCTTTACTGCTGCAGGACCACTCATTGTTCATCTGAAGTGCAAAAATCAATTTTGCGTAATGTGTGTTTTATGGAAGATAGTCAATGAAATACCTCTTGGGAGGCAAAAAACCGAAGGGGGTGTTTGTTCCTGTGTATATGTTTGAAAACCTTAAGTATAGAAGTATTCCTTTTTTTCGGGTGCATTTTCTGCACCTTTTACAAACTGGGACCAGATTTCTCGCTAAGAATGGAACGCTTTGTTGTAGCAACATTAGGCAATTTTCTTTATTTTGCTATTTTTTGTCCCTTTTTCGGTGATTTGCCCCCACTCCCACACTGCTACCATATAGGTCTATCGGCGTCTCTGTTTCTCACACATTCAAAAAAGGGGAACCATAAGGACAGAAAGTGCAATATAAATTATTAAGCTATTAGGTTAGATAATAGATCTCACACTATTGGGGGACATATTTGAAAGGTATGGGACTATTTGAAAAAAGCTAAAATCATAGATTATCAGGTTACACTAGCAGTGCTAATAATAAAGAAAGGAAGAATGGATACCTCTGGAAAGCTCAGAAATGAGAGTTTTTTAGAAAAGTACTTAACAGGGGGAATATCATTTGCTTTCGTAAAAATAGAGTAACACACAAAGCGATGGGAAAAATTTAATTTTTGCTTCCTCTTAATATAACCAAATATATCTCAGCCACCAGTATGTATTTCAAGATAAATTAGTATAAGTTACATTGATGCGAGATTAACGGGATAATTGTAAACTCACATCTTAAAGATCCAGTTTCAACCACAAAGTGTCAGTCCTAATAGCATGTGTAAGCCATTAGCAAATAAGAAAGTGAAAGCGGTAAAATTCAATTCAACACAATCACATAGGATCTGTCTGCACGGAGGTATCATGCGATTTAGTCGATTCAGTCTTTGACAGGGGGTGTCGTTCGATCGAACAAGTCAAAGTATCAGGAGGGCATGCCTATTTTTTGAGTAAATTATGTGACGTCATATTAGGTACTATTTCAGTTTCGTTTTTAAATAACAAAATATCTCAATATTTTAGCAAAAAGTGGAGAAATAAAAAAAGTTAAAAGCTAAATACCTGGTAAATGTTCGTAAAATAATTATCATTAAAGCACATCTGATATCAAATGTTAAACATACAATTATTTTCTATGATGCGTTATTGTATATGCTGTTGAGCCGAATGACCAAGGTAGACATAGAAAAAACAGCATGCTATGGTTATCGGCACATTTGGACAGTCAAAGTAAATAAATACTTGTTGAGAAGAAGGTCATTATTTACTAATCATTACATGAAACCAATTTTTATTAATCATAAATAGGAAAATCTGCCAAATTCACAATCTCTTCTACTTTATAGGATGGAAAAGTCCCTTTCTTACCCCTAGAGTGTGAAAAGGCTTTTGAATAACCATCCCAATGATTTCCTGCAATGGCAAGCTCTTCATCAGCTGTCAGGTCAAGTTCACTCTTGTCTCTTGCCTTATGAGCGATTTTCACCCTCACTTTATGCTCATTTTGACCACCAAAGTAGTAAACGTCGTCTAAAGACTGAAATCTTCTCGATGCATCAACGTGCTTTCCGTTCATAATCTCATATGCCAGTCTGCATACCTAGGCGAAACACCCAAAATACTGACACTAACTCATCAAACTACTTCACTCGTTGTTGGAGTTATACCAGGGGATCATTAAAGATATAACCTAATGCTATTGTCATTGGTTCTATCACGATTCCCACCAGTAAGTGCCATATGGCACATGTCGATTTTTCTTTTGAATTGTTATGTTTGTTTATGTTTAAAAGGACTTGCTACAAAGCTTATTTGCAGCATCATTACGCATAAGGATCAGTGATGTATACCCGTCTATTTTACGTTCTCATTATTGCTCTCAACTGGGACAGTAAGAAAAGACCCTTTTCCATCAAATCCCTACCAGTAAGAATTCCTGAAAAGAACCCCTGATATGAAAAATTCCCAAACAGCCACATTGATATGGCAATTTATTGCTGAATAAACTACAACCCAGTATAAGAAATTGCCTTGTTGCCAAGGCAACCGTTGTTGGTCAATCAAATCTTGCTTCCCTGCGTAATCATCAAAAAATACTAAAAGTTCACAAAATGATGCAAGATACCTATGTGAAAACACAAAGCAGCACCTTTCCTTGCCTCGAACATCACAAAAACACACATTGGTAAAAAACCACTACAACAACCATAGACCTATTAAACCAAACTTGGCAATATTTATGGTGTCAAGATGAGATAGGGCTGATAGAGTGCTGATCTTCCAAAATACTGATGTAGATGCTATCCATAATAACTTAATTTTTTTATCATAGATTGCTATCTCACTTAATCAAACTCCTCGAAATATTCTATGGAATTATGTCAGTCAGTACGCTGTAAGCAAATAGTCCCAATGACTACACTAAAGGCATGCAAGCTAGAGCCGGGGGCTGGAAAGGAGGGCCTGTAGCCCCTACTTCTTTCCTGAAATATGACATGAATATTGTCAAATCAAAGAAACTGTTCAAAGAACTGCCAAAGAGTATTCACAATTGTCTAGTTACCCCGACCCCAAAACAGTGGGCCTTGTCGAAATGAGCGACCATTTGATTATCATTTCTTACGTATTATAATTTTTCCCCAAGCTCACCCATTTGGATCAAGCCCTGTATCAAAGACGAATTGTAAAAAATTCTACCGCACAATAATCAGCATAAGTTGGTAGAATCACCACTGTGTTGTATTCACCATCTTGCCTTATGCTCACTTTCAAAGATCTTTAAAAATAACTAAAGCAGATTTCAGTTCTCTACTGTCCCAAACTGTCTACTGAAGTTCGGTACTGATCACATAACGTACAATTATGATATAGAAGTACCGTACGGAATGGTTTTTATATAAAACAGCATACCTGAGATGAAAAGGTGCAAACAACGTAATCTGATTCTGAAAGCAACTCGATGTCCGATATGACACCATACAGAGATTGCTCACTGTACCTGTGGTCCAGACCAGCAAAGACCGAGGCGGTATTGTCACTAACAAACGTGATGTCTGGATACCTTTGAAAAGAGATTTGAAAAAGTACAATATAATGTTGAACAATTTCAATTTGAAGAAACATAAGAAAGACGTTGAAAGCCACATAAAATGAAAATATCAACCTCGATTTCATTATTAACCTGTTCAGTATCAGATGACATTCTCATCAAAAACTTTAAAATATCTTAAATTGTCAGTGGATTACGTGAATAGCAAGTTTTTTATATTTCATAGAGACTATCACTACAGTGAAGTTCCACAAACAAATACATTTTAGAATCACACTAGAAGAAAAGAAGCCTAAACTTGAAGATTTTATGGTTTTTCTGTTTCAGTTGTAACAACCTCACTTTCTGCAAGTTGTAAATGGAAATAGCCTTCAAGAAGATCATAACCAGAGTAACTAGGGGCACTTGGTTCCCCAATGTTTGGAAAAATGTCTCAAAATATTTTGAAATAATGACCATTATTTGTAACAAACTATTCCTTTCTTACTGAAGCTTTCAATTTTGAAAAGATTAGGATGTCCCTGAAAGCCTTAAAAGGTTTGGAATTTTTGTCAAAACAAATGTTTTTGTTCTTATCGGCTGAAGAATTTCATATTGTAAACTGTGTACTATGTCGCGAACCAACTCTGTTACATAAAGATGATAAAGCCACAACGTGACGGAAAACATTTTTAAGCATTTCTCTGTTTCTGGCTTTATTGTACCATCAGCTATCAATGGCACACTTTTCCTACTCATGACATCACCAATTTATAGTGGCAAGTGATCGGAAAAGTTCCAACATGCAGGATTAATATACTTCTTAATCATTGCAGGATTGATATACTTCTAAAATTTAATTTGGGACAACGCTAATTCAAACATACCATAACCACGTCTCAAAACTAGAAGTCAGGACACAAACGATGAGCATAAAATATTCCTACCATTTTCAAATCGACTCCATAGCATTTCTTTACGTACACATGCAATTTCTTGGACAAAAAATGCTTAAAAGAAGATGCTCCAAATTTTTTTGGAGAATCGTGTATTTCTTGCTCTTAATTCCATCTTATTGCAAGCTTCAAAGATAAAACTACTACCTTGCTGATAACAACATTGTCCAAGGGAAGATCAATATCCATTGCGAAAAGGCCACTGCAATCTTCTTTTTTATCAATCAAATTGCTGCCCTTACTGGTTCAAGCTAGTACACGCAAAGATACGGTACAATCAAATATTTTCAATGATCTTCTTTCTTGTTGATATAAAAAGATTTTTGCTTATTTCTTACTTTTGTTTTGCTTCAGTTAGAAGGTTTTTGTCATCCGTTGCCATATATATCCTCTTGGCATCCAGCTTCATCTTCAGTTCCAGCTTTTTAAAATATCTTCTAGCCCATTTTATGTATTCGTCAATGTCATGATGTGCTGCCTCTACATTGATTTTATCAGTTCTTCTGACATGAATCCTAAAAAATAATTAGAAAGTTAAAGATGGCAAATAGCTTAGAAAATTGTTCTGTACCTAATCCAGAGAATTAGGCTTGTTCTCATTATCTGGTAAATTATCAAGACAAAGCACTTGCAAACATCTCTATTTGGGGAAGTTGATAACGGTTTTTTCGTATATGTTTGATAGTGTCATCGGCGAAAAATAGTTGTATTTTCACTTTCTTTCAGTAAATCGTATTATTTAAGCTAGATGTGATTTACCATTGAACGATTGAAACGAAGCTTGCGTTCATAAAAGTGCTGTCTCTCTAAGTTTAGGCCTTAGCTCCATCGATGCTTTCGAAAGAGTCAGTTCACACTACAAATGCTTTTCTCTGGGTACCTTTTAGAATACAAAGTAGTGGGTTAGATCTGTCTCTCTTTCTTGAGATAAAACTGTCAAGGTAAGTTGCAAAGCAATTATTCACAATGCAAAAGAGGGTATTATTTTATTTGATGTTACAAAATGTATATAAACACCAAATTAGTCATCAGTGTCTGTTGATGTCCAGTGCTCATTTTCACTACCAGCTAAGAAATTTCTTGTTTTCAAGATTCAAACTAAATTCATTTCATTTTGGAGCTAAATTTGTTCACTTATTATCATATAATCGAGATAGGAGAATGAGCGCCAGTGACCTGATAGAGTTAAGTTATCTACGTTACAGGTTACCAAGCTTAGGTACTTGAGGCACATTGTACGTCGCCATTCGTCATCTTGGAGAGAAGACGATGATACTCGGTTACATGGATGGTAAACGTAGTAGAGGAAGACGCAGATGTTTTCTCTAAACCAGAAACATAAAGAAATTTGTGGATGCTCCTTTGGTAAACTACATGCACCAAACATAAGACGGATATATGAGACGTGATCACTACACCAATCACAACTAGTCAACCAATGAACGACGACGTCGACGAGAACCACGACGACGACGACGACGACGACAACTATGGTGACGAAGACTGCGATGACGACGAATATTCACATCGTACCGCAGTATTCTTTAGTGCAGAATTACATCTTTTGATTATCAAAAAAATCAAGCCGAACACTCAAGAATAAAGTCTGTCGATACTGAATATGACGAGTTCAAACAACGGAAAAAATCCTTTCAAATTTTGACTGTTTATAAATTCCCTATTTAGTGAGGATAGGTTTTATCTTTTTAAAAGATTTGCAGAGAGGAGACTGAAAAATAATTAATAGATAACAATTAAACAAAACTCGAAAAAACTTACCCAACAATAGGTGACTTGAAACCAATTCTTCTCTTCTTTTCATTGATCCTTTCTTTCATTAAAGGTTGATATCGAAATAGATAAGCACAGATCTGACCAACCCACCAAACAAATGGCCTGTCATTGAACGGGATAATTCTGTCTACTAAGTCACGTGGAACTGCCTGTGGAAGCTGGTCTGGCTTCGGGTAGATGGTGTCAATAATAGGCAGACTGGCGATCAAAGCTTTGGTATTGTAGGCAATACCCAAGTATTCGACACCAAAGCTAACATTACGACATGATTCACTCACAGGCAAGAATGTCCCTTCCCATCCTTTCTTTGAATATCTCCAGCCTCGTGAGTTTATAACCATGGTCCTATTCGAGCTATATGCCATTATCATACAGTAAATTATGTGATGTACTTGGCAACCATATCCACAAGCCTTGTTTAAAGTGCAAACTAGCCTGCGTGCCTTTTTGCAATCATCGGGGTTTTGCAGTTTATTGAGTCTTTGTCGTACTTCATTTGACAGTTTTCTGTGCATAGTTTCTCTATAAGTGCCCATGCCGTCAAGATCTCTAAGAATCTCTAATTCATGAATTGTATGTAATGATAACTGTTCAACCTCTGTTTTGAATTTTTCAAAACCATACTGCATAAAAACATCACCTGCCTTGTTCTTAAGCTTTTCGAATTTATCAGTAAGAAGATAATTCATTTCTCTGACATAATTGTCTATTCTACGTCTAGAAATTTCATACTCGATACTGGGTGCTCTATAAAAATTGTTATTTTTGAATTTGGTAATAAATTTTGGTTTATCGTGCTTCTTACCGATTTTGTGGCTTGATTCAAGGGTGATACCGGTGGCAGCAATAATTGGCCTTCTGCTCTTGTTCTTTGATTCTTTATGCAAACGTTCCTTGCCTTCTATTGCTGCCTTTTTTCTTGGCTCTGCAAACGTCTCTGACGTCTTTTGTGAATCTTGTGCCAGCTCATAAAGATGCATGGCCATGTACAGAAATGTTGTCAGCCACACCAATGCCATAACACAGAAGATTTTAAACACTTCTCTGCCTGTCATGCCTTTTCGTTTCTTTGGGCATTCACTATATCTGTAAGTATATTCATTCAATTATTAGATAATATGGGTGCAACTTTGAAATATTGATTATATCCACACACACCAAAACGACATGAAAAATATCTTGGAAGCAGCCAAGAATTAAGATATAATTGCAATTTTTAGACACGCAAGTCAGTGTTCAAGAATAGTTTTGCCAGGGGCGGATCCAGAATAGCCAGTTTATCAGACGCCATTGTTTGTAAATCAAAGTTACTGTTTCACTGAAGCTGAATATAAAAAATTATTGCTTGTCTGAATTAGTGTATATCATCTTTGCACTATTTTCAAGTATATTACCTGTACCGGCAAAGTTTCGTCACAATATATCTGAATAACACCAAAAATGCGTACAACAAGAAATAAAACATCGAACGCAGAGTGATATTCTATTTCTACTCTTGAAAAATCATTATTTACATAAAAATTGATGCGATAAAACTTCACGCATAAAAATAGATTTTAAGGTTAAATATATCTTATAAGGAAATTCATACCTAAAGTTGCGAGTTGTTGAATGCATTTGCCTATCTGCCTTAGCAATAAGTATGAAAGCAAATAGGTTTATTTTAAGAAATAAATGAAGCACCGATTAGCAAGTCGTGGAAGAGAAGAACAAATTGATAAATATGATGGACCGTCATTAACACACACGGAAAGCTAAGCAAATTAAGCTTTCCTTCCTAAATAGGATTTTAAATCTATTCTTAGCTATATTGGTAGTGATGCTTCATACATAGCCAGTCGCCTAGCAACAGAAATATACCAAAAAAAGATTTCACACAACAGTGTTGCTAGGAAACACCAGCCTTTTCTGCAAACTTTAGATCAGTCAACTAAAGTTTATATGCACCGAAGGATTTTGTCTAGCAAAAATTATGCAAGAAAAGTTTCTCCTAGGAGCGGAGCCACAGGGTAGACATGTGCACCCCACTTTTTCTAATGATTGATTTTTTTATGAAAAGTCGACAAGAAAATAGTGGGAGGATGGGGATATAAGTTGTGTAATTTTGAACCTGATAGTCAGTTATTCCCTTTAAGCTGCATCGCTGATTAAAGGTTAGAAAAACTTTTTCAGATCAGTATAAAACGTGATATGGCGAACAGTGCTTGAAAGTATCGTAGAAAAATCAGTAAAGTGTTGGTTATCGACAGCCTTCACTATAAAAGCATATAAAGAACACATCTTGATCATATGATATGTTGACAATAAAGGTGACAAAGAGATAACTTTTTCGTCCTTGTTTACTTTGAAAATTTTGGAAAAAATGTACGATTCCAGTACTCAAGAGGGCGTGGCAGCTGAAAATTTTAAGGGCAACCCCGATAGTCTTCTTTCGACCCTATATACTTCCGGCAGATGCTGCCCTTGGTTTCTAATAGAAAAGTAAGACTATCTTGCGTTTAGAAAAAGAAAAATGGCAAAATACAAATTATCATGTTAAAAAATTTATATTAAGGATATCTACCTTTTTACAAATGTCCTCCTTCCTTTTTCTCTTTGTGGCAAAATTTGTAACTAGTTGCCGAAGGAAAGCGCAGAAAAAATTTGCCAGAGGAAGTTATTTCCAAAATAGTCAAATATCATTCCTGCACAATATTTTATCCTCCAAAATTTTATCCGTCAAAAACTTTTTGTTTAATAGTTCAAAGAGAACCTAGGCTAAAAGATATTCTAGATTAATTTATAAACGGTAAATATCTAAGAAATTTCAGTTCTTTATTGCTGATTTGACGTCATTTTCAAAGCATTCTTTGTTCAAAATAATTGATGAAATGTGTTACTTCACAACAACCTGGGTTTGGTGTCAGTGCTGGGCAGAGCCTCAAGAAACCGGGGATATGGTACTGTTGATCGATGCAGTGGCAAAGGAGTGCATGTAAATCTAGTCACACAAATGAAGATTTATGCAATTGATTTAAACTTTGTTTTTGAGTTATTGAGACCCATAATGTGTGAACATCAACTCACAAGGTCTTTTACTTTGTTACAAACTCATCCCCTATTAAACGCTGCATCAAATTCTTCCATAAATGTAATAACAACAAAAGGGTTGGTTGTCAAAAGAAATACGGTGATATGCGAAATTTTCACTAATGACAACAGCGGCAGTTTTCAGGAGTTGTTGTTGTTAGTTTTTACCACGTGTCATCATTATGCGCTTTTTTAACACCTTCATGCTAAAATAACACAAGGAGGATACTTGACATCAGTGGCAGGCTAAGCAATTTTTCTTCAAAGTTGACCTGATTTTGTTTAATTTTGAAAGGAATTTGGTGGATGACTTAACCAGTACGATAGCTTGCTTTCACATAAAAAGTTTACCTTAGATTGATTAATTTTTATTCGATGTTTCTTGTTTCATCTTGCCATCAGCCAATATCCCAAAGACGAAACGAAATTGCAAAAATATTACCAGTGGTGAGGAAATGTAATAATAAACGATAAAAACAACATTCGACTCAAAATGCCTGGCATTTTCTGAATCAATGCTGAGCAGATGAGAGAATTAACCATTGTTGGGGATTTCGATATTAAAATATTCGGCATGTTTCCATACTCATTGATTCCTTTTTATTTTATGTAAAACACTTCCACATAGAATAAAAGACAACAACAGATTACAGAAGATGAGTAAAATGAATTTCATGCTCCTGTCAGCTTTACCATTTCACCTGAAAAAGTTTTTGCTCCTAATTTCATTATTTGCGATGCATTATGCATATAAAGTACCAGATTCGCCGTAAAATGTTAATGTAAGTTCAATTTCTGCACAACACTACCTGGTGTCAGTTCCTGTGTCTTTTAAACAGCATTTTCCATTGCAACGAATTCTTACGAAGCAATCAGTCAGATACCGGTCGAACTGTTGAATCCTGATTCCTGATAGGAAAATACAAACAGCCTCATGTCATACACATCGGAAGGTTATTTACTTTATAAACGTATCAGGTCACAGGTCGCCCAGGGTCAGGAAATGCACTCCGGCCAACATGACACCCAGCATATTGAATTCTTAGGAGGAATGAATCAAATTCCTGACAAATTTTCTATCAGAATATACGGTTAGAAAAAAGTTATCAATGCTGCACCATTGTTTGAATATCTCTAATGGAGTCATACAAGCATATCATATCGTAGAAAGGAAAACCAATAAAATGAAAACACTTACACTCGCCTCCACTTTCATCTTGTTGAAATTCTTTTGCAAGACCTGTGCTAGGGCTCTGGGGCATGCGCAAAGAAGAAAGATAATTGTCGACAGTTTAACAATTTTTTTCTATGCATTTCTAAAGAAAAACAATGCCTGCAATAATTGATCCCCCGAGGGTGAAGTAATTTAGATATTACTAGCCTTTTCGTTTGGTTGATGAGTCCAGAAAATTATGTTTGTCTAGATAAAACTGAAAAATAGAGCATTTCAAGAACAAACTAAACACATTAATGTTTATCACTGGGATTACTGTTTATCAATGAAAACATTTCAAACTCATGGTCTTTAGTAACTGTGGTTTATGCATAGAGGTTTGTCTCTTTCAAATTACTAGATCTATGAAAAATAGAATCTTCTTTATTTCAGTGCTTAAAATTGTGAACTCAATATTCTAATTTTTATTATTATATTTTATATTCTTCAGAAACGTAGTCTTAAGCTGTAAAATCTGTACTTTTAACACGCGTCAAACCATGTCATCTTGGCCTCGAAATCAATTGAGAAAAAAATAATCAAAACGAATAATGCTAATCCGATTAAAAAAATTCGTAAAATTCAGTCGTTCCACCGTTTAGAGTTAACAAAACGCTCTGCGGCGGAACAATAAGTCTATTGTATAATGCGACCAATGGGAATTCAAAATCGAAATGCAGTGCTACCTAGAAATGCAGAGCTACCCAAGAGCAACCCAGAATCAGCCAGAACAACCAGCGCAGATTTTCCAAAGTTTACTGTGGTAATGTTTTCACAAGTTTGGAAAATATATTAAAATCACCTTTTCAGGTTTCTTTACCCCCAAATCATTGGCAAATAATAAGTTGTCACTGTAAAAGCTGTAGCATATCCAAAATGCAGCATATCCAGATGATTTTACGGAAATTTTGAGACCGAATTAAGTTCTTCATTTGCAAAGGAGTTCAAAAATTAAAATTTCAGACTATGAGTCAGTCCTGGAAAATATGATGCTCGAAAGCAGAGTGGGTTAATGCTTTCCAGAAGTGTACAAAACAATTACAGTGACGGAATGAATGTACAAATCATTCATTCTGTTTGTAACAATTACATTGACAGTTGCCACATCTGAGAGATCATTTTCAAAACCTAAATCCATTGATCAATTTCGGTACTTAAAAAAAAAAAAATATGTCAAAATAACTGAACTCCTTGAAGCCAAATCAACTGGTAAGACTGAACTCATTGAACGATTCGCACATGTCAATGCTCGAAGGCACAAAATATTTGGCAAATAGAGCTAGAATTTGATCTTATTTCTTGGAACTGGAATTTGCTCCTATTTCGTGGAACTAAAATTTTATCTTATTTCTTGGAACTGGAATTTGATCTTATTTCTTGGAACTGGAATTTGATTTGGTGATTGTTGAAACTTGTCAACACAAAAATGTTGGCGAAAGAATTTTAGGATTTGATAAGACCCGTGGGCTCTCAACGACCACAAATGTATGGTATGGCCTCCCTAAAATACACAAGCCGATCGTCCCATTTAGACCCATCTTGTTGATGATTCGATCAACACAACATGAAATGACTAAGTGGCTTTCTGAAGTTTTGGACCCTATTTTGTCAAAAATATTCAAAATATTGCATCAAGGATTTTGTTACATTCGCCGAGTTCATGCAAAACGTGAACATCGAAAACGAAACATCTTTCATGTGTCCTTTCGACATTAGTAGTCTTTTCACAAATGTTCCTTTGAATCTCGTCTGAATGAGACCATCAAAAAATGTGCCGATGCTTTGCACCGTTTTTTCGACTACGACCAAAGGCTAGGTATCTATTTTTGGTATGTGGATGACACATGTACAATTTTCAAAACAGTGGCTGAGTGTGATATTTTTCTAAAACACCTTTATAGCCTACACCCAGCCCTCCAGTTTACGTTTGAAAAGGAATAAAGTGAATCATTGCCATTTTTAAATAAAAGCGATTCAAACTGCAACAAATTACACCATTTGGATTGAATTTTTTTGACACCTCACTTTCTTTGATTTACTTTACAAAGGAAGCCCAAAGGTCT